TGCATACGGAGCTCCCGGTGATTCACTCGACAGCTATGGGCGCATGGCCGAGTCCACGACCATTGAGTGTTTCTACAAGTTCTGCAGGGCAGTGGTGGCTGTGTTTGGACCGCAATACTTGCGAACACCCAATGCAGAAGACACTGCTCGGATCCTAGCATAGAATGCAGCAGGAGGATTTCCTGGGATGCTTGGAAGCATCGACTTCATGCATTAGAAATGGAAGAACTGCCCATTTGCTTGGGAGGGGATGTACAAAGACGCCAAAGGCGGTTGCAGTGTGGTACTTGAGGCAGTGGCCACACAGGACCTCTAGAGTTGGCACTCCTTATTTGGTATGCCAGGAACTCACAATGACATCAACGTGCTACAGTGCTCCCCTGTCTTTGCCAAGCTTGTTGAAGGTCATTCTACTCCTGTGAACTTCGAGGTCAATGGGTGGCACTATAACAAGGGGTACTACCTAGCTGATGGCATCTATCTGAGATGGTCTACATTTGTGAAGACTATATCAAACGTTGTGCCAGGAGGCAAGAAGTCCCACTTTGCGAAGGTTCAGGAGGCTTGCAGGAAGAATCTCGAGCGGGCATTTGGTGTGCTCCAATCTCGATTTGCTGTTGTCCGGTACCCTGCTCAAACCTGGTCAAAAGATCAAACGTGGGAGATCATGACTTGATGTGTCATCTTGCACAACATGATCATTGAGAGCGAGCAGGAAGAGCGAGTGTTTGACACTGAATCATACTACAGGTAGGGTCCTCTTGCGCAAGTTGATCACCAGCTACCGGTAACTTGGACTGCCTACCTCAATATGCCTCAGGAGATCCGAGACGCACAGGTGCATCAACAACTGCAGCAGGATCTGGTGGAGCACCTATGGAGGCTCAAGGGCAACGCCTAGCTCGACGTGTGATGAAATAGGAGTTTTTATTTGTTGAACTATATAATTTGCATTGAACTATTTGATTGCTATTGATTTTCTGTGATGAACTATGTGATAAAAAAGTTACTTCTGTTGAATTCATGCCGAACCACGACGAATATGGGCCGCTTCACGCCGATATCGGGCCATTTTTCGCCGAAAGTGGGCACATTTGCACTAAAAATGGGCCGATATCGGTGCCTGGAGGCGACGGCTAGGTACCCAACTGCCCCCAGAGCCGATTATACCGCCGGCTCGCCTCAATGCGGCGATTTTTGTGCCTCCTAGGGGGCCAACGGCTGGATATGCTCTTATCCGCCTGATGCCAGCATTGGGGCAGAACATGAGGATCCAAGTGAGATAAATTTACTAGCTCCTCCCCACCATTTTATAGGGTAATCAAAGACCAGGGGTCGCCTAGCCACAGGGAACGAATCACCACTTCCAAATGCACTATGCAATCTATGTGCATAAAAATGAAGCATGCATTCATGACACCATACAAGGATGGCCCCTTCGTTGACAGGATGTGCCAATGGAAGCAGCTCTAGGCCACGACATCCCTCATAATGAATGTGGAATAGACGGTTTGACTCTGCCACGGGAGGTGACGCTTCGGAGGCTGTCAGGTTCTTTTTTTGACCCACTCAAAGCCCTCGTGGCTGGGCTAAAGACTGCAACCATGCTAAAATGTTGAAAGCGCCGAGGAAAAGGGTCTTGTTAAAAGATCCTCCATTATCTGGTTCACAATGGTTATCTACAAGACCTCAGAGCCGAGCGCAACCTCAGAATCGAGAGCCGATGTTGATGATGGAACTCATCTACGAAGCCGAAGACTCAAGATTGTGAAGCTACCCTGAGGAGGATATCCAATCAACTCGGCTTGAAGACTAGTTCGGGGGGCTACAGACAGTGTTCCGGATTAGGGGGTGCGCATCACGTCGGCCCACCTCTGATGGGCCGGGCCGAGGACCCATCAGTAGTCGAATGGGTCCTGGCTAGGCCGATACCCTCACCGTCATCCAAATGAAGATCTCCCGAAGACTTGGCATATACTTCATGATGTATCTGAAGGATCAATGTGCTTATCCCTAGATCGCAACCTACCATTCGCACACCCTAGATACCCCCGGTGCTTATATAAGCCGTGGGGTTTAGTCTATAGAGACACACATACACATTCACAAGGTTTAGAGCTTAGAACATCTACATACGATCTCGAGATAGATCAATTTGTACTTTGTACCCCATCACAATCAATATATAAGAAGCAGGACATAGGGTTTTACCTCATCAAGAGGGCACGAACCAGGATAAAACATTGTGTCCCTACTCTTCCTGTTACCATCTAGCTCAGATCACCAAGCTTGGGACCCCCTACCCGAGATCTGCCTCTTTTAGCAACGAGACCGACCGAAGCGCGAGCTGAATGTTCAGAAGTCAAATACCGGGAGGTGGTGGACATCATCAGTCCCGAAGTGGATACTGTGACCTGCGTGGAGAACAGGGAAACTGGTATTGTCCTGAAGCGGTGAGACGTCCATGAGAGCAATGAGGCGGCAATGATGAGGTTCGCCGCGAAAAATCCGCACCTCATACAAGCGGAGTACGAGTTCTGGGCGCAGCACAACAAGACGATAAAGGAGGAGGTGAAGGAGGGCGAGGTTGGCTCCTCGTCAAGGGTGATCAAGGTCGAGTCAGATGACAAGGTTCAGCCCAACGAGGATGACGACAAGGAGTAGGACATTGACCGGAACAATCTTAGAGATGAGTAGTTGTTTTGGTTGTTCGTAGTTTAAGTTTGATGTTTAAAACTTTGAATGTTTGAAGGTTTGGATCGAATTTGCAACAATCAAGTTATAGTTTATGTTTTGAGTGCCCCATTTTAGGGCAGACATTGGGGTAATGCCCTTTTTAGGCAGTTGTTGGAGAAGAAATTGATGCCCTAAAATTCACTTTTGGTGCCTTAAACAGCTTTTTTCAGTGGCCTATTTTATGACAGCTATTGCAGATGGTCTTACACAACTGTAAAGTATTTAGGCATGTCTCCCCAAATGGGCCTAAGAGCAACTCCAACGCGGCGACCCATTACATCCGCGCGCGTCCATTTGTTTCGTGGCAGACAGAAAAGTCAGCCCAACGTGCCGACCCAAACGGATGTGCGTCCGCTTTTCATCCTCTTGCCGACCCATTTCCGGCCCAATTTTTAGCCTCATTTGCATCGGTGCGGACACGCGCAACGCACGCCAACTACTCCCCCTGGCCCGCCAGTCGGTGGTAGCCTCCACCATTTCCCTCCACTTTCCCCAAAACCCTCCCGCCCATGCATGCAAGCGCCCCTCTTTGTGTCATTCCGTTTATGCTTGCATGTCCATTTCCATATCCATTTGCCAATATGCTTGCATGCAATTCATTTGTAGGCATTCCAGGCTTTGGAGGCATTCAATGTCCAACACGAAGGCAATTCCTTCAGCCTCTCCCATTGTTGGAGGGTCGTCAAAGACGAGAAGAAGTTCAAGGCGCAATATGCCGCCCTCATGGCGCGTGGGGGGAAGAAAGCCGTGGAGGAGGTTGGGGAGGGCGAGAAGGCACGACCGTGGGGGAAGACCAACTCCAAGAAGGAGGACAAGTGGGATGCGGCGTCGATCGCCTTGATCGCAACCGTGGGGGGCATGATGACCAAGAAGGACTCAAGGGAGGAGAAGCACCGGCAAGACAAGGAAGAGCAAATAAACGTCTTCATGGAGATCCAAAGGAGGAGGCTTGAGATGGAGGCGGAGAAGCAAACGAGGATGCTTGAGATGGAGGCGCAGAAGCAAGCCAAGATGCTAGAGATCAGGCCGCCAATGCCAAGACCAAGGCGAAAGAAGTGGCTCTCGCTAGCATGATGATGGGGGTGGAGATCATGAAGGTGGATCTCAACACTGTGTCGCCAAGGAAGAGGTCGTGCTTCGAGAAGATGATGCCGACATGCTCAAGTTTGATGACGAGTGATCTATGGCGGCAAGCGCCATCCTTTTTTGTATGCCGGCAAGTGTGCTGGCATGACCACGACCGCGGTGACGTGGTTGAACTCCCGCCCCTTTTGTGTGCTAGCATGTGTGCCGGCGGCTAGCAAGTGCGCCAACATGAAATGTGTGGTGTTTTTTTGAAGCTGGCATTGTATTCCGGCCGCTGGCATGATGCAGGCATGAAACTTTGGGCGACGGCATGGCCATTGGCATGATCTATGGCCACGGGCCTTTTTCAAATTTGTGCGTGGACATGAAATGGGTTACGGATGTTGGGCGCACCGCCGACCTAAATCTTAAACAGAACGGACATCGAGCAGGCGGCCGACCCAAACAGACAAAAAGCGGACAAAAGCGTCGTTCATTTGGGTCGGCGCATTGAAGTTACACTAAGTAAAACACAATCACCACTAAGGCGCACGGCGGACAAACACATATCACCCCAAGTAGCAATCTGATACAAGAAGTTGCACCTGCAGCTAGCAGCTGGGGTGCACGTCCTCTACAGGTTGCACAACAGTGATCAAATGGCAAATCACAAGTGCGTCCGGTAATATTATCAACTCCACATTGAACAGTACTAGTAAGTTAATGAAAAAAATACTGACACGTATCCCAGACATTGGACAGCTCTGGTAATTTATGTAGGAAGCAAATTAAAGCACAATTAGGACTACACAAATGAACGTTGGGTAACATACAATAGTTTGACCTCCAAATTTCACAAAGCATGACACCGGCTGCAAGGCCCCAGAACATTTAACCAAGTTGTAGATGGAACTATCCCTTTAATGTACGTCTTTATAGCCATGATCGATTTGCATGCCTCCTTGATATACTCCTTGTCCAGGGTAGAGCATTTCCTAGATATGTTGCCAGAGCACCGAGAATTCACCCTTATAGTGTCTAATATAAGGCACTTGATTGACATCGAACTCTCAAGAATATGGCGTGTTAGCTCAACCAAGCTCTTTTGGGGGCAGAAACCAGTTATCTGAACACTCTTGAGCTTGTCATGGCGGTGTTCTGGCATTTGCCTCAGGGTTGAGGGATCTCCAACAAACAAGTCATACTTCTTCTCCACTGATACCTGAAGATAAATGGCCGAGTTTTTTTGGGTTAATGATTCCACCACAGTTATTAAATAAACCTTGCAGGATGAACAGTGACTTACAGACAAGACAAAAGTCTCCAAGGAAGGAGAAGCATCCAGGAAAGAAATCAAAGTCATATTCCCTGTTGAGGCTCCACCACCCACGAATAGTAATACTCAAGGACTTGAGGTGGAGAAATTTGCTAGGTACCATCGGTGCGTTGACCATCTGCATAAAGATGTCTCAGATTAATTACATTCCAAGACATGGCTAACGTTACATGCATATTTATCACCTGAATGTAAGGGAACCAGATCCTCTAACATTAAGAAGGAAAGTTAGAGAAGCTACAATCCTCTAACTTTCCTTCTTGCAATCCATATGATTAAGGCTAAAATGATTTAAATTAATATGCAAATTACAGATTTAATGTTTACATTCATAATCATTACATACAAACAATTTGATGGTGAAATAAAATCAATTATAGATTATTTATATCTACAGTAAATATCAATAGTAAATAATCCGCTAAACGTCTCTAACATTCTTTCTTCATTTTACACTATGATTACACTGTAGCACTGTGACTTTGCTTCTCTAAGTTAGAGGATCCGCCTTCGAATGTAAGTGTGTCATACCTCACGAGGAGATATTATGTTGAGTCTCTCCAGATTTGGCACACTGGATGGAAGCTTGTCAATAGCATAACTGATGACACACCTATGGTCCAACTTAAGGGACTTCACTTGCAATGATTTTTCAAGTGAGAGTTGTACTTCATTACCTGCAAACTGAAAGCTGGAGATATTTGGAGCTTTGTTCTCTATAACTTGAAGTCTCAAGCAATCAAACACCTCCATGTAGCTTAGCCGCTGCAGCAGGCAAGGTATCTCAAGGCGAATTATATCATAACAATATATGAGTGTCAATTTCTCCAGAGCAAATGAATTGGAAAGAAGGCAGCCTAACTCATCCCCCGTAATACGCACTTGATACAGATACAGCTCTGTCAGGCATCTCAAATTAAGGGCAACTGTGGGACGCAATACACAATTGTCAAGGTGGAGATGCCGTATAGTGTTTCCACCTTTTTCAGATAAAAGTGAGCAAGGGAACTCGTATTTTGCCTTCTCCGACAACAGTATAAGGGTAAGTTCTTCCATCACTGGTGTAATAGCAATCTGAAGCCAACTATTGAGACGATTGTAGGATTTGGTATTGTAAGGACCATGGAATTCAAGTATGAACGTCTTCACACCAACGCCTCTATGGTTCGTCAGAATATGGTCAATATTGTTGTTGTACTCTCTTCTATTTCTTCTATCATTTGAGTCCTCTGTTCCCTCGAATAAACTTTTCTTTGAACACATTGTTTCCTTGGTGAAGGTGAGATTAAGATGGCATCTCCAGGAGTGATGAAAGGCACGAGACACACAGGCAGCCCTGGCATCATCTCGCATTGGCACTAGAGAATGTATATGGTGCCAGATTTCCTGCATGCACAAATGTGAGAAATTCAACATTTGACTCAGAGTCAAAAGTATAGAGGAACTACACTCCAGGGATAATAATGCACAAGACTTGTTCCCTAAATGATGTTTTAAAGCTGGACAAAGGTGGCATAAGCTAGACAAGGAAGAGGCTAAGGACCAAGGGTGGCATATAAGCTAGATGCGGAAAAGGCCAAAAATCTTCAAAGAGTTCCACTAATCATACACTGAAGAAGAATGAATCTAAACTAAGCAATCATGGCAAATGAAACAGAAGATACGGCTCATAAGGGAAACATGATAACATGGGATCTAAATCTAAGGAAACAATTTATGCTGGAAGTTGATTGCAACAGCACAAAGCAAAGCTGCTAATGCACTGGAACTTTGGGCAATTGCGGCAATGCAAAATATGTTCATAAATTCTTCTTTAGCTATTCTGCTCATATTTTCACCTGCAATAGAAGTCTCGCATTATCAGAACGTACCTCTGGAAGGTCTGGACCCAGGTAACTTGGTCTTTTGCCACAATGAGAATTGTCATCCTTTTCGGAGGCTTCGCTGGTTTTTAGATCAACGGAAGGTTTGCTGTTTCTTCTAGCCAATGAAGAAACAAGTCCATCTGCAGTACATTAATGTCATGAGTAGTAGCGGCACATGCACAGAAGAGTCGGATAATTTGCCCAATTTTGTGCCAGAACGGAAACAGCATTTAAAAGTCTAAACTTGTGTGGATATGAAATTCAGACTCCAAAGTGAGCATAGGTATTTTGGTTAAACTACGCAACTGGCCCCAAGTCTTGTCAATTTCCCTCGACCTAACGCAACCGGATCCCATCAGCCGGTGAGCTGTGTATGCCGCCGACCGAAAAAAGGGTTCTTTTTTATGAACAAAAGCAAACCGGGATCTAAAGGAGTTGCGCCGGATCCCAGCAGGCAGTGAGAGTGAGATCTGTATGCCGCCTACTCGATGTTGCTATCCGCCAAGGCCAGCCGGTACAGGCCAAAGTAAGCAAGCAAATCACCAGCAGCTGGGCATCTGAACAAGAGGTGCGATGCACACACAGCAAAACAGAAGATAGATGAATACTACTCCGCGGAACAGAGTGGAAGAGAGGCCGAAGGGGCCACGGGTCGGGGCTTACCGTGGGATTGGCTACGGCCATGTTTCCGCATCTGCTCCGGCTTCATGCACATGAGCCGCTTCAGCGCCATCAGCCCCATGCCTTGATAATTCTGTCCTATCTGTATTTCTCTGCTCTCCTCTGTCTCTCTCTCTCCGTTACTCCCTCCTTTCTGGATTATAGGACTCAATTCAAAAATCTTACCAACTAAGATAGATTATGAGTGATGGAATAATTTTTGTAGTTTGCAAAATCACTTAATTAATGTGCTTGTTTTTCTCAAATAATTGTGTTTATCAATGTATTAATTACAGTGCATGCATACATAAAGCAAATGTATTGGTCAATTTTTTTAATATTTGCATGCAATAATTTAATGCAACTTAAAATCTGAACATGTGATAAGGAACAATCAAATTGAACCTTATAAAATAAAAAAACTAAAATTTTAAGATAAGTCTTATAAACCGGAAAAGAGGGAGTACTACCTGAATTTAAGTGGGACGCTCGGCTCGGGTAGGACATCCCGCCCTATCTCAAATACCGATGTCTGAATTCTCGAAACAAGTGGCGCGGAGGGACGAAATCGGGTCGGCGCCGCCGGCCAGTGCCAAACTGCTAGTCGGGAGTAGCGGAATCTTTTTTCCTGAGTAGCAGGAATCCACCAACCAACCCCTACCTCTATATGGATGGGCCAAGGCCGCTTTACAACCCTATGGCAGGCAGAATCAGAGAAGCACACGGTCTGGACTCTGAAATCCGTCTGCATTCGGCCTGGGCTTAATTTGCGGTTTCTTCCCATAAATAAAGGGGTCCCGATAACTGCCATACATGTGGTGTATTGAGTAGTTGTGCCACACGCCTCGTGTGGCATGAACAGCAATCAGCCCACACATTTACGTGTGGCAAAATAACTAATGCCCACACACATCTTTTTTCCCTCCTGAACCCTCTCACACGCGTGCGTGTGGGCGAAGTTAATAACGCCCACACGCCCGTATGTCAGGCCTCGTACCCTTCTGGTCCATGCACGCGACGCGTGACGCCCACCGCGCGCCCGCAGTTGCCATGGTCCAGACCCTCGTCCATGTTCGTTTATCTGCAGTTGCCATGTCGCTGAACTACGGTTGCCATGTCGGACAACTGCAGTTGTCATGGTTGCTCAACTGCAGTTGCCATGTATGGTCTGATCTAATGTAGTTGCCATGATTTCATAACTTTAGGAGTTGCCACATACTAACACTAGGCAGTTGAGAGAGTTGTCACGTGCTCACAAGCATGCTAGGGCAGTTGCCATGTAAAAAGGAAGAGTTGTCATCTGCTTACGTGCACATTAGGGCAGTTGCCATGTACGTGCACATTGGGGCAGTTGCCATGTACCATGCAAAAACACATGGCAACTCGGTAAAAGACAGTTGCCATCTGCTTACGTGCACACTAGGCAGTTGCCGTGTACCCTACAAAAACACATGACAACTCGGGTAAAAAAAGAGAGTTGCCACCTGCTTATAAAGCACACTAGAGGCAGTTGCCATGTGCGCTGCAAAAACACATGGCAACTAGCAGCTTATGTGTGGAAGAGGAGACGGACGTGTGGGCGAGATGGCAAATGCCCACACACCAGCCCTTGTGCGTGACTGAAAACTGGTGTGTGGGTGAACTGCTAAATGCCCACACACCGGCCCCTCCGTGTGGTAAAACGGATATGTGGGCGAACTATGTCACACATCACACACACGCCTTGTCCTACGTGACACAGAAAATCAGCCAGATTGTGTCAAGATTCGTGTATATAGTACTGGACGGTGATGGATGCGTGTGGTCGAGATGGTCAACGCCCACATGTATGGGCGTTAACATTTTCGTAAATAAATAATCCTACCAAAACGCTATAGCACATGCACATCCTATTTACCGCCCGGGCGGCAAATAGCGAGACTTCGCTAAAGGGCACGCACAAAAATCGGCCAGCACAGGTGTCCTTCCTTCACTGGCTGTTTTCGGTTTCTCATTTTTTTATCTTTTTTTCATAAAATATGCAAATTTAAAATAAAATAATTTCAAATTTTGTTCACGATTTAAACAAATAAAATTTCAAAATTTGTTTGCAAATCAAAACTAAATCACCTTTTAAAAAAACATCACTTTTAAAAATGTTCTTAATTCAAAGAAATATTATGAATTCAAAATGTGTTCATCTTTTCAGAAAAACAATATACTATTTTATAATTTATAAACAATACAACAAAATTGTTTGGAATCTGATTCTTTTTACAATTTTTCCAGAACTGTTCAGGTCTTTTAAAACAAATTGTTCATCTTTTCACAATTTGATCGTGTTTTCAAAATTTTGTTGTTAGAAAATTGACAATTGCAGAAAATATCCACATTTTTTATAAAAAAATGTTCATGTTTTATAATATGTTCAGTTTATGAAAGCAGACTAAAAAAACAACTGGTCTTTTGGGGTGAAAACAAACTACAAATTGAAAAGGGAAAAAATAAAAATAGCTTGGTTCGCAAAGTGGACCGGCCCATTTTTCTAGGCTTCACGAAGCCATTCCTAGTTAACGCACACAAAACCCTCATAAAAAAGTTGGCACACACTAGCGTCAACTAGGAGCTCTCTAGAACCTACATCAGTTTTAAGTGTTTTTCCGAGCGAACGCTCTGCGGGCCATTGGATTGAGACGCATGAATCTCAGATCATTAACTAGAAGGCCTTTAGGAATTGCTCAGACGAACACAATCGTTCGCCTCTTTTACGCCACATGAGGTATGCCATTTGTGAGGGGACTTTCTTCTGTATATTTTACTTCCTGGCAATTTCTATATGTAGCATAATCGTTTTATTCTGATGCACATGGCAAATTGTTGAAGGTATGCATGGTAACATGAAAATTCTTCGCTTTGCAGCATGGCATGGAAAATCATTTCTATTTTTGTGGCAACTTTCTCCTGTGATAGGATGGCAAGTTTTTTACTTTGGCCACGTGCGAATCTCTGGTGCGCATGCCAATTTACTCTGCCACTGCATGGTATTCCTAATAAAATTTTCTGCTAGCATGATATTTTTTTCTTTTCAACATGGCAAATGATTCATTCATAGCATGGCAAATGTATCATTATAGCATGACAATTTATGTGTTCACTCACAGTGATTTTTTAAGCGGACACTCCCTCATGACGTCGTTCATTCAGATGAGCCTCCTGTAATGAATGTTTGTTCGCTCAGGTGATCCCCCTAAGAGAACATCGGCATGTTCTTGGTCTCCTAATCATATCTGCCACGTTGCGGAGGGAGACCTCCCAATTTACGCATGTAGGCCTCAAACAGACGAGACGATGAAGAAGCAAGCGCAATGGGCCAGCCCAGTAAACATGCTAACCTTTTTTATATAGCCAAGTAGCGCTCTGTGGCCATTTTTTATTTGTTTGTTTTGCTTCCGTTTTGATGCCCTTTTGCTTTTCATAAAGGCATGGAATTTAGATACACACAAATGAGCTATATTTTAGAAAATGTTCAGCATGTAATTAAAATATGTTTGACGTAAATTCAAAAGGTCACCGTGTTTTTAAGAAAATGATCATTGGATAATAAAGAGTGCACCATGTATTTAAAAAAACATCATGTTTAAAATAAAAATTCATTATGTACTAAAAACGTCCGCCTAGTTTTCAAATTTGTATTAAAAATTTACTCAGCATTTATTTAGAAAATGTTCAACATATATTAAAATATTTTTGACATGGTTAAAAAGTTGTCCATCCATGTATTTAAAAAGAAAAAAATAGAAGGAAAAACAAAATAGTAACCCATATAAGGCTAGAACAAAAACCACAACAGCAAAACTGAAAAATGCAGCAAATTGCAACAAATTAAATAGCAAGGAACAACGATCAAAACAACGAAACTAAAATAATGACGTAGGACAGGAGTGCAATGAACGAAACACCAAGAAAAAACGGGAACAAACAACAATTAAAAATCAAAAAAATGCTTCAACTGTGTGGCAAAACGAAATACCGTAGCAAACGCCGGAGTGGTCCAACCCAATTTTCCTCCCACGTGTGCATTGTCCCATCTATTTGCCACCTGCGAGCGGTGTGAATAGGATTTACCTTGCGGAGGGACGCCCCTAATCTTGCTTATTGTGAGAAATAGGCGGTCGGACGCATAAGGTGGCATCTGATGCCGGCCCATGTAGTGATCCTGTGCCGAGCCGGTATTGTAGCGCGACCAAGATACCGAAGCGAGTTGCTACTGTAGCAGATGATTTTTCTTTAATGTCTTTTATTTGAAAAAAGAAGAAGAAAGAATTGAATTTAAAAGTAATCCATTTTAAATATTTCTAGGAAACTAGAGAAGATTTTTTTAAAATGAAAATACTTTCGAAAAATTGAATACATTCTTTAGAAAAATGGGCATTTTGAAAACATATCAGGAACATCTTTTAATAAATATGAATGATTTTTAAACACGAGCATATTTTCAAAAAAAATCTTACATTTTCATAAAGTTCCAAACAATAAATTCATTTTGAATTTTATTTAAAAAATATATAATATGATGAAAACAGAAAAATGATACATGTAAGACCTATTAAGAACCATCTCAAGGTTCCCAAAAGTAGGTCATTTAGTATGGGTTCTACTTACAAATGGGTCAGCCCATTTACCACACTCCCTGCTTGTGCGTTTTGACAACAGTTTGGCGGAACGCAAGCTTTTGAAAGGATCAAAACATCATCTAGGTGAGGAGAGGTTGAATAGGCGTTCTATAAATTTTTTATGGATTTGGCCTTATCCTAATGCGAAAATTCATTAGAAGGATATATTTCAAGCACAAATTCTAAACATCCTAGCTCAACTAAGTGCACAAACAACCTATATCAAACAAGATAAGCATTAGAAGGATGCTAGCAAGCACGAGTAACCAATACAAACTTACAATAATATATCACAAGATATAAAAATGAGTGATACAGGTTAGTAGTTCACACCAAGCACATGATATAACCATAGTATCAAGTATGAATTGCGAGAAATAAAGGAGACAAGAGATAACATATATGTTCCCAAAGTTCACTTATCCACCAA